CTACTAAATATTTATATTCATTCTTTTAGAATCCTGTTCAGTAGTTGTCCTTTCAGGAAGCTTCTCCTGTGTTCTCCTATCTTGCATTGCCTCGGTAGCTCCAATGCTTTTATTGTATTCAAAATTGTTATTTAGTTATTGTTATTGTGTGTGTGTATCTTGTGTGCAGCACAGATACTACCACATGTATGTGGAAGTCAAAGGGAACTTCGTGGAGTTGGTTCTGTTTCCACCTTTATGTCAGTTCCAGTGATAGAACTCAGGTTGCCAGGCTTTACCTGCTGAGCCATCTCGCTGATCCCGGTGCTCCTTTAAACTGAATGCCTACAGGCCTTTCCTTTCCCATTCCAGTCAAGTCTGTTTAAAATCGTTATCTCACAACCCCATAGACTGTGCAGTTCTCTCTCACGGCACCTATCATGTACCGATTTTATTTTTGTCAGTGTGGTTAATTTTCCACATCTGTCTTTTACCTTTGTAAGCTGTGGGAGGCTTCAGATTGTTTTCCGCTTTATTCATTGCTGTGTCTCCAAGGTTGCCATTTAGCAAATATGCAATGTTTAGTTAATGGATGAATGGACATATAAATGACATAATGAATGTGTTTTAAAGAGACTTTTCCTTTTAAAAACTCAATCTCCAACAATTCTACCAACTATCCTGGATAGCCTTTGCCTCTTTGGCTCATCACCAGGGCCTTAATTCCAGAAACACTTTTGGCTAAGTCCTCTTTGTTTCTTTCTCCAGCTCCTGCTTTCTGGAGTGCTTTGGGTAGACAGAACTAATTACAATCTAAGATCCCTCTTTCTGTTACAAAAGTGAGATGAACATGGACATCTTCAAAAAAAATTAAACTTAGCAAATACCAAACTTCCAAGAGCCGTATTGATAGTCGTTCTAAAGATGTGGGGCATTATCCAAAGACGGCTCAGTGAAGCGCCACCCGAAGCAGCTCAGGGGTGATGGGAAGCACAGGGAACGGAGTACTGCGTGGTAGTTTAACCTGCCTTCCCCTCTTGCCACTACTTCAAGATCAGGGAGCCAGGCTCAGCAGAACTTGACACTGCAGCTGTGCTCCAGCTGGGTCTGGGAAAAAAAGTGTAGTAACCATGCTGTGGAGTGTCAGATCACTGACAGGACTTCAAACTTTTGTCTTCTGTTTAAAAAATAGATAAAACTGATGACCGTCAAGCTTTAGATGTTTTTAATTAAGTAAAATCATTTTCCGTCTCAAACAAAAGCTAATATAGATTACAAATGGAAAGAAAAATGAAAGTTCAGCAGCTCAGCAAGTGTCTATATGTGTGGGAGTCCGGAATTCATACTACTGATTTCATCATCTTGACTCTCAGAAACTTCAAGAATTACTTTTTAGAAAATCAGAAATAATGATTCCTTGAAATTCAGTTTGAAACGCATGACTCTGTCTCTAAGTTCCAATTCAGTTTAACTATGCTCCTCCTTCTTTTTCTTAAATTTTATTATAAGCCTTTTTCAGTATTGCTATATGACATCACATTCTCAACACTTAGTCCAAAAAACCTTGAAAAATAAAACATATTATTTGCAAGCCAAAGAAACATGGAGTGGGTATAGAGAAAAACGATAAACTTATATTCCTAGGGCTCTTTTCTGTACACACGCTGTTAACAAAGCCTTCAGATATTTCTTCTTGGACACACAGACTGTAACTAGGATATTTTCCTAACTTTTTGCCATTTTCTTGAATTCTTAAAGGTTACCAGTGAGGTTAGAAAATGGGTGCTTCAAGATAAGGCTTGGAAAACCATGCTGCGTCCATCCCCCCACCCCATGCATAAAATGCTACTATACATCCTGCTTATATTGATTTGACTTTTAAATTATTCCTATTATTCTGAATGAAGCAGATAAAGATGTAACTTCTCATAAGATCATCACTACATACAGCAAACATTGGCAATCGCCATGGAAACGGATCATATGAGCATTTCATAACAGAATGCTTGGCATGGTAGGTGCTAAAGCAGGGGCTGATAAGTGACCACCAGCCAACATCAAATGCTTGGCCACCTTTCTGTGGCATTCTGTAAAAATGACAGCAATTTTGTCCCCTCATAAATTCAATATGTATCCGTTAGGCTAGGCTTGGGAATGTTCTCACTTTAAACTGATTTTCTGTAAGTGGGAGCCAGAAAGCTCATAGACTTGGATTGGGCAGATCTGGAATAAAATTTGAACAGCTGATCTTCCTAAAACAAGGATCTCTAGATAGGCTGACTAGATTCAGCAGATGGACAAACACTGGGGAATGGCTGGGGGCACGGACAACACAATGGACAGTAACAGGGATGACATAGTATATGGGCTCCAGTGGGGGCGGGGGAGGTT